AAGTGCCACGCTAGTAGTAACAAGTGCCACGCTAGTAGTAACAAGAAACCATTAGAAAGAATCACTCCAAAGATTTTCTCTCATCCATGGTCATACCCCAAATACGTCACTCCCAGGATCACCGCTTCGCCCGCTTCGCCCGACTCGTTCGGCGGTGCCGATCCGCGAGCTCGTTGGGCCGATCCCACCGGAGCGGTCGCCTTCCCAAACTGGAAGGGACTCGTGAGGACTGGAGCCACCTGCACGGAAGGAGATGGAAGGGAAGTTCTGGGATGGAGACCATTTCTGGCGGTTTCCCCTGGTTCCAAGGAATTTGCACTGCTTTGCACTTCTTCGGGCCAATTGATTTTTGACTTGCTCTGCGAAGGTTTGTTCCACCGTAACATTTCTCTCTCTGTTTGGTGGAAACGAAGCAGACTACGCCACTACGCTGCCCAATCGAGATCTGCTTCTTTCGTAGGTGTATAGAATCTGGCATTGGTGAATCACCTACTCACCACTCCATGCATCTGTCAAAAAGACTCTGAGGCAAAAACATCGCAAATAGACCACCTCTCAGGTCAGACCAGGGGCTCCTCCTTGGGCACCCCGTGACATCCATGGCTCTCCTTTGTCTTCTAGACTGCCGGACCCAAAGTACCTGAAGCATCCTTCAGCCATCTTGGACATGCTGGGGCCGTCCCATCCATCTATATAGACATCATTTTCAACAACGGTTTTGATGCGATGAGGAATGGAACCATCTTTATACAAAAACATGTTGGCCAAACCCCCCCCCCTGAGCTGCAACCACAACTGCTTCCATTCCAATATTCCCAACTGAGTCCTCTCATCTCCCTCTTCCCTCTCAGATCTCGCCTGTGACACCTGGCTGTAGGTCATTGGCATCGGCGTCGTCACCGGCGGCACCATGCTCACGGGGCTCACGAAGGACCCGGCGCTCAGCGGCACGGGGGAGCTCACCGACGGCACGGCGATCACCTGATCGTGCAGCGCGTGCAGCCCAGGTGGATCTTGTCTCTTCTCATCGGACGCTTGGCTTTGATTGGATCGTATCAGAGCGTGGATGTGTGTGGCACATGGCGACGAGTCATGATTTCTCTGAAACTGCTGAATTCTGCGGTCAATCTCACAAAAAACCAAAAGGGTCCACAGTTCACATACACCTTCGAGGAGTATATATCAGACTTACAAGATCTTTCTACTTCAGCCTTCACCTCTCAACTACCCCCCTCTCCACACGCCTGCCGCGTGGGTGAGGCCGGGTACTGAACCACAGGTCGATTGGTCGGCGACATCTGTTTCATTGACCTTCGGTCGACAACACGAACTCGGCGAACGGTTTCAAGGGCGTGCCGGATCTGCCCTCTGCCAACGGATCCGAACAGTTCGTGGCCGTGGGAGGAGCGGGATGTACCAGAAGAATCTCTTAATCCAACGCGCATTAGGAGCAATGTTCGCTACTAGGGGCTCCTGGCCTTACTACTAGGAA